CCCTGTCACCACCACCAATTCTTGTATCTTCTGTTTGATAAGTTAGAATATCTGTAATTCAAATTGTGATAGAAGGAAAGCAGGGATTTTATAAAAATAGCAACAGAAAAAATTACATTTTGGTACTTTTACATTCCAAGACAATTTCCAGTTTGGTTATCTGCTATAAATGGTGCATAAAAAACTACAAATAATAGTTGATAACAACAAGAAAAATGGTCCAAATGAAGTTTTAGAGACTTTGTGGATTCTTTTCTGTTCTTTATTTCCTTTGTTTGTTTGAATTATTAGAGATTTCTGCATATAAAATCATGTCATCTACAAACAGAGGTAATTCTTCCTTTCTAATTTGCCTTCTATTTGTGTTTCTTGTCTAATTGCTCTGGCTGGAACTGCTAATTGTCTGTTAATAGAAGTAGTAAAAGTGAGCATCCTTTTTGTCATGGGCTGAATTGTGCCCCCCTCCCCAAATTTATATGTTGAAGCCCTAACTCCAGTGCCTGAGAATATAACTGTATTTGAAGATAGAACCTTTTAAATAAGTGATTAAGTTAAAATGAGACCATTAGGATAGGTCTTAGTTCAATCTTACTAGCATTCTTATAAAAAGGAAACTTGGACCCACAAAGAGACACCAGAGGAAAAACTGTGTGAGAACACAGAGAGAAGGCCACCACCTACAAACCCAGGAGAGGGGACTCAGGAGAAACCAACTCTGCTGACAACATACATGAAATACCCATAGCTAGCATCATACTCAACAGTGAAAGACTGAAAACTTTTCCCCAAGACCAGGAATAAGACAAGTGTGTTAGTTTTCCAGGGCTTTTCAAATACAACAGATTGGGTGGCTTAAACAACAGAATTGTATTTTTTCATAGTTCTGGAGGCAAATAGTGTTGGAACAACTGGGTAGCTACATGTAAAAGAATGAAATTGGACCATTTGACACTATTTACTTGTAGATAGCATTAGATCCTACAGATTAAGGGCTCAGTCCTCCAGTAATGCCTACCCCACTTCAGATGCCAATCTCAAGTCCAGGTTGTCATCTGGGCTTCTGACCTACCTGTTATAGATTAAAAGTTCCAATGACCCCCTCCTGGGTTTGATTAATTCACTAGAGTGGCTTACAGAACACAGAGAAACATTTAACTAACTAGATGGAAGAGATGAAGAGGATAAGGTAAGTGGGAGCGGGTAGAGCTTCCATGCTCTCTGAGCACCTTTCCCTGAATCTCCATGTGTTCACCAACCTGGAAGTTCTCTGAACCTTGCCCTTTTGGTTTCTATGGAAGTTTTATTACATAGGTATGATTGATTGAATCCTTGGCCACTGGTGATTGATTGACCTCCAGCCCCTCTCCATGGAGGTGGAGGTGGTGATGGGGGGAATAAAAGTTTCAACCTTCCAATCACATGGTTGGTTCTCCTGGCATCCTGGAAGAATTTGGTCACTGCAGTTCAGAGATTCCAGAGGGCATTAGTGGGAAAGCTTAGGAGGAAGGGAAAGTGTAAGAGTCTGTGTGTAGACAGAGAAAGGAGATGACAACTGGGTGGCGACAGGGAGTGTCAGGCACAGAAGGCCTGGAAGGATGAGAGGGGAACCCAGGGGTTCTGGCAGCACTGGTCCAGCAGATCCCAGGGTCTGGAGGGACCAAGGGACCTCAAGAAGCCAACAGCCTAGGCCTGATTGATGATGTTGGGCCTGATTGATTGAAGATCGTCTTGGCCCACGTGGCCTAAGCAAGAGAAGGAGCTTCAGAGGTGGGCATCGAGGGATCTAGAGATGGGAACCAACTGAGTAAAGCAGGCTGGTGATGGGGAGGAGGAGCTGTGCCTCTCTGGGCTTGAACATGCCCCTTTAAACCTGAGACTCTAAGCAAAGCCCTGTAAATACCCAAGAGAACGATCAGATTTGAAAATACCAAGAACCACTATATTCTGTCAGATATCGCTGTATGAAAACAAGCCAGAGAAGTTAGATAAATAAGCAAAAGGGAACCAGGGCCAGGCGCCAACATGAGTGGTTAGTTTCCTACGGGTGTTTACAGAGAGTTAGGAGCTATTAAGTGAAAATAAGGACTATAAGTAATAGAAGTGGCAATTTTGTCAGGCATTCAAACAAGAATTTATTAAGCATCTAGACAGGCCAGGGACAGTGCTTGGAATGCTAGATGCAGATTGAGTGCTGCCTGGAACTATAAGCAAATCACTAAGAAAATAATTACAAAAGAATTCATATAAGAATAATAAGAAAGGGAATAAACAAAAACATAAGAACAGTAAGAAAAGGGATAAAGTGCTCTGATCCTGTATAACTGAAATTTAATGGACCCCGGGGGTCAGAGTGTGTTTCTCTAAAGAAATGAGCTTTGGCTATTTACCAAAAGGTGCGTAGGAAGAGTCAGATCCCTCAGGACACTGGGCTGCAGGAAGCTTCTGGGCCTTATTCCAAGAACAAAGGAAATAAAAGGGGAGCAAGTGAGAGGACAGCAGAGCCACAAGAGGGGGCAGTAGAGCAGAGTGATTAAGGAGCATGGTCTGGAGCCAAATGGCATGGGTTCAAATCCCAGGTCAGCCATTTACTACCCTGTGATCAAGGTCTGGATTAGCTAACCTCTGTGCCTCAGTCTCCCATACTTTGGAGGATCATCACGAGGATTCAACGATAAAAGCCTGGGGAATACCGAGTCAGGAAGAATTGCTGATGTGAGTGGGCTCACAGGAGCGACCCTGCACTGAGGATGCTCTCTCTCCTCCAGGCAGACATTTATTGCTGATGCTAAGGGCTGTTGGCACCCAGGAAAGTACTGGCTTCTTTAGTGGTTGCCACTTTGAAGACAAAGAGTCTCTTGGCCTTCGATGATATTCTGGCAGCATTGTCCTCGGGCTCTGCTGTCCTGTGAACTCCATGAGGACAGGGACTCTGTACCTCAGAGCTGGCACAGGCCAGCACATGGGAGGCACACAATACCTGTTGGCGAAATGGATCGCAAATGACTGGATTGATCTGTGGAAGAATAGCTACACCATCCATCAATTATTGAGCATTCCCTAGGTGCCAGGTAGCTTACTAAGTGCCTTACCTAATTCATTTCATTTCCTTCTTACAACCATCATGTGAGGAGGCTACCAGGAGACACTTTCCAGTCTGGGAGTTCTTGGGAATGAGTTCTCTGTAGGGGAGCCCTTGTCATACTTCAGGGAGTCTCATTATTAAGAAGTGTGCTTAATTTGTAGCCCCAAAGAAGGGTTTTTTGCTGGAAGCTGGAATCCTGGAAGCAAGAATTCAATCAGAAAACAAGCTATGCTTGTAACCGTCTCTCTCAGACACCAGAGAGGTGTTATCAGGCAGCCCCTGAGTCAGGGGGAGCAGCTGTCCCCACCGCGGTCCTTGTCTTTTCATAAGAATTAATTCTAATGAGTGACTCCAGATAGTTGTGTTGTGTTAAAGTGAATTGATTAAGAAAGTAAAACATGCAGATTTATTAAAGGAACAAAGCAAGCAAATCTATCGTCTGGCACAACATGTGCGGATGGGCTCTCAGCTAATTTGAAGAATGGATTGGGTGGGGGATTTCTGCTTTATATACGTTGTTTGCCTATAGATTTTTAAATTCCTCTGCTGAATATCTTGGTACAAATTAATTTTCAAGGTCCCCCTTTACTTTGTTGTGGCTTTCCTAGTTTGTGAGGAGCACCTGGCAGTTTTATCTTGCTAAACCTGGAGACTGCTGGCTTTTCTGTTTAGGCAGTGGGATGAGGTGAGACTGGTTCTCCCCCTTCCTCCCTCCTCTCTGCTGTCTTTGGAGAGACATTAACCATTTGCTTGCAAGTGTCCTTGGTTCAGGGAAGATAATGGCTTGTTATTTACAAGCCAACCGCAAGTTGTTCAAACTGCTTGGCCTTGTTTAATTTTCTTCTCTCAATTTCCCTATTCCTCCTGCCCTGGAATTTTCCTAGCTTCTTGCTATCCTGTAACATGCTGAATATACTTTTTCTAAAGATCTAGCTGCTTAGGTACAGAGGCCGCAAGGTCATATTTTATTACTTGTTTCAGAAAGCAGGGAACGGTGCCTGCTACAGAGGCGTAGCACCCCACCCCTCAGCAGCCCGAGGAGCTCAGAGCAGAACTCCCGAGTCCTCTCTTCCGGGCTGGTGAGCTCTCCCACACTCCTGTTTCAGAGAAGAGAGCAGATCGTTGGGAAAGGCCGTGGGAGAAACGCCTTTGATCTTCCCCTGCCAGTTCTGGTTCCAATCAGAGTCTCACACACTCTTTCCCGCAGGTCTATTTCCCAAGGAAGAGTCTAGTATGGTTCAGCCCCAGGCCCCCTTCCTCCCAGAGCAGGACTGGTGCAGGCCGCCTCCTCGCCTAAAGCTCTCCTGGCCTTCTTCTCCGAAGACTTTTATTTTGCGGAGTTCAGCACTGCGGGGAGGTGCAGTCAGAGAGCCCTCCAGAGCTGGCCTCAGGGCTGGGTGGTGCTGTCCCCTGTGCGGCAGCCCCTCCCACACAAGGTTGCTGCATCCAAGCACATCTACCACCAGACAGCCTGAGGCTGTCAAAACAGGTGGTGGAGGAACTGTGGGTAGGAAAAGCAGAGTTGTCCAAAGGGCACAGCCCAGCTAAACCTCTGCTCCTAGAAGGTCAGGCTCTTGCAAGCACCCCAGAACCTGCCCCCAGCCTGAAGCCTGGGGTCACCAGCTTCCCAGGGTTTGCCTTCAAGCCAAAGGAGCAGGCTGGCCCTTGACCAGCCAGCCACACACGGGGCAAGTGGTAAGGCAGGATGAGGAGCTGTGCTGAGAGGCTTATTTATATAAGCACCTCAGCTTTGCTCTGGGCCCTGGCAGCCAGGACTTGAGTGACAGCAAGCCTTGCTCTGACAGAGGAGGGGCCTCAGCCAGGATTGCAAATTGAGTCCAGTTTGGAATAGGCCCAGGTCCTGCCAAAGCACTTGTGTCCAGGTGGCGGATTAACTACCAGAGCCCAGGCAGCTGCCCGCTCCTCTCCCTCTGCTCAATAGAGGTCTCTGCTCCATCAGGTGGGCCCTTGGGGTGGGGCGTGCAGGCTGGCAAGGGACCCCCCTGCAGAGGACTGGCAGTGCTGAAGGCTCCTTCTGCTCCAGGCACCCATGGGCTGGGCAATGAGGCCGACCACGGCAGCGCTGTTTCTCGGCCTCACGATGACGGTCATCGGAAAGAAGGCGGGAAATGGCCAGTGTGAGTTCAAGACTCTGTCTGAAGTGGATGCTGTCGTCTGCAAGTAAGGCTGGTGGGACCCCAGAAAGCAACTGGGCAGAGGTCTCGGGGAGGGGTGTCTCCAGACCCAAGGAACACGCCTTCTCCTAAGGCAGCCTTTGCTGACAGGCCGAGTGTGGGGACGGCCTTGCAGAGAAGGGACTTTGAGCGGGGCTCCTGCCTTCCAGAGGGCAGCTCTCCGGGGACCAGAGCAGTATATAGATAGATGTCAGCTCCTCCTGGGACTCTGAGGGGCTGGCTGACTCTCCTGGTGGGACCCCAAGAGACGATCTCTTCTTACAGCCTGACCTGCTCCCTCCCCCTTACAACGTAGCATCTTAAAAACAAGTGCAGCCCTGGCCGGTTTGGCTCAGCGGTTAGAGCATCCACCTGCGGTCTGGAGAGGCCCGGGTTCAGTTCCCGCTAAGGGCGTGTGCCTCGGTTGCAGTTTGTCCGCGGCCCTGGTTGGTTGTGCGGGTGGCGACCACTCGATGTGTCCCTTTCACGTCGATGTTTCCCTCTCTCTCTTCCTCTCTCCCTCCTGCTCTGTCTGTACAAAAAAATGGAAAAGTGTCCTCGGATGAGGATTAAAAACAAACAAACAAACAAACAAACAAAAAAACAAGTGCAGTTTAAGAGCTGTTGTTTGCTTTTCAGTAACAGGCCCCAAGAGTGTTGGGACAGGCTGGCCTTTTAGGGGTGTGGCCACGGGTTGCTGTCCAGAGAAGAGGCTAGGCATCAGAGGCTGGAGTTTTCCCTTTCAAGAGCATGTGCTTCTCTCTGGCCGTGTTGAATTTCAGCTCCCTGCTCATAGACTGTTGGTTAGAAAAGCCCGGCCACTTTGCTGCCACGCCGGTGGCCAGTTTGGCTTCCCACTGAAGCCAACAGAAGCGAGAGAGGGAGGAAGAACTACCTCTTACTGCCTTCTTGTGTACATTTGAATTCTTACAGACACTGCTTTTAGAAAGATAAACACAACTTTTCCCCTCAAAAGTTAGGTAGCTGAAGGCCCCCTCCTCCCAAAACAACACCACCAAATTTTGCTCTTATCAGTACATTTTTCAAACTCTAGTGAAACAGTTCTGGGTGAGGGCCCATGTGGGAGGAGGGAGCGTGGCTGCCTCTCTCATTGGGCACCGGCCCTCTGGGTCCTCTGCTGAGCAGAGCCTTCTGGGGGCAAGCAGGCTTCTTCCTCTGGTAGGCAGAAGGCCAGGCCCCCACAAGCTGGCAGGTCAGCTGGGCCAGGGCAAGGCAGAGGCAGGCCATGCAATGGCCCCCTTGTGGAGAGCCTCTGTGCTCCCCGTGTGGCCCACACTGTGGGATGCATACGAATGAGCATCTGTGTGTGCTCACTGGAGCTGACTGCGCTGCTCTGGACTCTTCCCTGTATACAGCCACATGCTGGAAGCCAGTGCCCCTGTGTCACTCTGGGCTCCTGTCACATGCCAGGAGTTCTTCTGGTGCATTAGACTCCTTGACTCATTTGTTATCACAAATCTTCCAGATAAGTATTATCATCCTCATTTTACAGATGAGGAATCGCCAGAGATTGAATCACCTGCCCATGGTGCTGACACAGCCTACAGGTGTCAGATGGGGGTTAAACCCCCTCACCTGACTCTGCACTCACACTCTTTCCCCACCTGCTTTGGGCACCTGGAGTGTCGCAAACTCCAGTAAAGGGCGAAGAGCTGTCTTAACCCATTTTGGCTGTTATAACAAAATGCCAGGGGGGGGGGGGCTTATAAACAACAGGCATTTATTTCTCAGAGTTCTAGAGGCTGGGAAAGCCAAGATCAAGCTGTCGGCAAATTTAATGTCTGGTGAGGACCAGCTTCCTGGTTCACAGACAGCTGTCTTCTCGCTGTGTCCCCACATGGCCGAAGGAAAGAGAAATCTCTATGGCATCTCCTTTGTAAGAGCATTAATCCCATTCATGAGGGCTCCACCCTCATGACCTAAGCACCTCTCAGAGGCCCAACCTGCCAATATCATCTTACTAGGGGGATAATATTTCAACATATGAATTTTTGGGGACACAAACATTCAGAACATAGCAGGAGCCATTCTTAGGACTCCCCAGAGCACACCAGCAGATCCTAGTTTAAGAAACATGGACTTCGGCACTAAAGTTGTGTGGTAGGAAATGTCTTCAGATTGTAAACTATTTGTTGCAAAATGGAAGCTTTGTCTTTATTCCTGCTAAAGATTTTTGTTTATAAAAGATCATAACTGAATGTGAGCACATCATGGACACATCAGACCCTTGAGCAGGGATCAGTGTGTCCCGCGCTGGGGCCCCCTCCCCAGGGAACCTGCTCAGTTCAGGCTTCCAACCTATGAGAGACAACACCCTGCAACCCGAAGCCACTCCTCTCGTGGGTATTTGGAGTCTAACAGGAAATTCTTGAAGTTAGAGCTCAACACCTAAAGGTATTGATCTATAAAGGAGGAATTTCATGTACAGTAACAAGCAATGGGAAAACATTAAGAGAAAAGCTCTTCTAGAATAATAGCTCACCTACTCCAGAGACGAGACCGACCAGACCAACAAAAACAGTCAGAACCCTGGCTCCATCTCAGAATCAAAAGAATCATAGTTGTCCAACCAGTGCCATTAAGGTGAGTCCACTCGACAATCCTCTCTCTCCCTGCTGTCCCCACACAAGTGGCCCTGGGAACCGCCTCCCAAAGCCCTCTCCTCTGCGCTGAAAAGCTCCACCCTTCGGAGCACGTCCCAATCTCAAGGCAGGGGCTGCCTTTCTTTCTTTAAATAAAAAATGTTTTTTCTTTATAGATTTTTAGAGAGAGAGATAGAAACATTGATGAGAGAGAACATCGACTGGCTGCCTCCTGCATGCCCCCCATTGGGGATTGGGCCCACAACCTGGGCATGTGCCCTGTCCGGGAATTAACCAGCAACCTCTTGGTCCATGGGTTGAAGCTCAGCCACTGAGCCACACCGGCCAGGCTGCCTTTCTTTTATTGATTGATTGATTGATTGATTTTATAGAAAGGAAGGGAGAGAGAGAGAGAGACTTGTTGTTCTATCCATCTATGCATTCATTGGTTGATTCTTGTATGTGCCCTGACTGGGGATTGAATCCACAACCTTGGTTTATTGGGATGATGCTCTAACCAATTGAGTTACCCAGACAGGACTTTGCCTTTCTTTAACTTCACCTCATTCTATCTAGTCTTGCCCCAGGAACTGCAAAGAAAGAGTCTAGTTTCTTTTCTGGACAGTCCTTCAAATATTTGGAGACAAACGTCATGCTTCTCCCACCCCCACCCCCTGTCTTAAAAATAATTATCTTTATTGTTGAAAGTATTACAGATACCCCCTTCTTTTTCCCATTGGCCCCCTCTACCCCATGACTATTATGCAACCAATTTGTGCTTCTTAACCCCTTCACCTTTTTTGTCCATCCCCCCCATCCCTCTTCCTATCTAGCAACCAACAAAAAGTTCTCTGTATCTATGAGTCTGTTTCTGTTCTGCTTGTTTATTTTGTTTGTAGATTCAATTGTTGATAAATGTGTATTTATTGCCATTTTATTGTTCATATTTTGTTCTTCTCTCCTTCAAGAAGACCCTTTAACATTTCATATAATACTGGTTTGGTGGTGATAAACTCTTTTAGCTTTTTCTTGTCTGGGAAACTCTTTATATGGCCATCAATTCTAAATGATAACTTTGCAGGACAGAGTAATCTTGATTATAGGTCCTTGCTTTTCATCACTTTAAATATTTCTTGCCACTCTCTTTTGGCCTGCGAAGTTTCTTTTGAGAAATCAGCTGATAGTCTTATGGGATCTCCTTTGTAGGTAACTAACTGTTTTTCTCTTGCTACTTTTAAGATTCCTTTTCTTTAACATTTTGCACTTTGATGATGATGTGTCTTGGTGTGGACTTCTTTGGGTTCATCTTGTTTGGGACTCTCTGTACTTCCTGGACTTGTATGTCTTTTTTCTTCACCAAGTTAGAAAAGTTTTCTGTCATTATTTTTTCAAATAAGTTTTCAATTTCTTGCTCTCTCTTCTCCTTCTGGCACCCCCATGATGCAAATGTTGGTAGGCTTGAAGTTGTCCCAGGAGCTCCTTACAGTATCCTCACTTTCTTTGGATTCTTTTTTCTTATTGCTGTTCTGATTGGGTGTTTTTTTTGCTTCCTTATATTCCAATTGATGGGTTGATTCTCGGCTTCACTTACTCTACTGCTCATTCCCTGTAAATTATTTTTTATTTCAGTTAGTGCCTCCTTCATTTCTGATTGGTCGTTTTTTATGTTGTTGAAGTTCTCACTAAGTTTCTCTACTCTTCCCCTAATTTTCTTGAGCATCTTTATAAATTTTGAACTCTGCATCTAATAAATTGCTTGTCTCCATTTTGTTTAGTTCTTTTCCTGGAGTTTTGTCCTGTTCTTTCATTTGGGACATATTTCTTTGTCTCCTCATTTTAGCTGTCTCCCTGTGTTTGTTTCTATGTATTAGGTAGAACTGCTACATCTCCTAGGCTTGGTAGAGTGGCCTATTTAGTAGGTGTCCTGTAGGGTCCAGTGGCACAGCCTCCCTGATCACTCTAGCTAGGCCCTCAAGGCCCACCTCCCATGTGGACTGTACACCCTTCTGTTGTAATTAAGTCTTGATTGCTACTGGCATGTCAATGGGAGGGATCCAGCCCCCCCTTCCCCCCCCCCACACACACATACACACTGTCTTCACCTGCAACTATTCTAACCTGGGCATCCACCTCATTTGTTAATTCCTCCTCAGGGCCTTGGTTCTGGGCCCCCACTTTCAGGAAGGGATGGTTGGAGACAGACCCACTGCTCTTTTTAAGTGTGGCGCCCCATACTTTCACATTGAGAACCATACAACAGCGGGAATTGCCCACTAAGACCTCTCATGCCTCATCTCCACCCTTGCTTTTGGGCAGCTGGAATTCGGAGCCATTTCCACAGGTACAGCTGGGAAACTGTTTTTCTCTAATCCAATTCTTACAATGCCAAAGGGTCAAAGAGAAGCCCAGAGAAGCTAAGTGACTCCCTGGGGAAGCTGTGTGGAGTGGGGGAAAGTGCAGACAAGCCTGCGTAGTTGCTCTCTATTGCTGCACAGCCAATTACCTGGAAACGAAGCAGCTGCACATTTACTGTCTCGCGTCTTCTCCAGGCTGGCTCAGCTGGGCATCTCTGGCTCAAGGAGGTTGCAGTGAAGCTGTCAGCTGGGGCCGCAGTCTCATCTGAAGGGTGTACTGCTGGGGTGCTCTGCTTCTGAGGTTGCTCATGTGGCTGTTGGTCACCTCACCATGTGGCCTCTCCCTGGGGCTGTTTACAACACAGCACCTGGCTTCCCCCCGAGCAAGGATTTGAGAGAGAGCATGTGAAAGAGGGCCTCCCTGAAGAAGGCGTCCTTTCCGTATAATTTTGGAAATGACATCCTATAACTTCTGCTGTATTCTCTTTATTAAAAGCAAGTCACTAAATTCAGCCCCCATTCAAGGGGAGAGGGTAACACAAGGAGACAGGGCTCTTTGGGGCATCTTGGACACTTCCTGCCACACCCATGCTCCTCTTTCCCCCCAGTTCACTAATTATGAGACTCTGGGCTAGTTCCTTAGCTTTCTCTGGGCCTCAGTTTACTCATCTGGGAGATGAGAACAATGATAGTAGCTGCTTCAAGATATTTTTGTATGATATGGAATAATATTGTGTGATGTGCCTGATCTATTGAGGTTGTTCAGTAAATGACACCCCCCGCCCCATCTCTTTTGCAATGCCAGTTAATGGCCAAGCTGGGACCAGAGTCCCTGCTCCTCTCCCCACACGCCCTCGGATGCACTATTGTCTTGCCAGGAGATCCGGAGATACCCCAGATCCCGGGTGGAGATTAGAACGTGTTCCATGTGAGGTACACCGTGAGCGGAACAGGCACTCCTTGCAGGAATGTTGTCCCTTCGGGGCTTTGAACTGGAATGCAAGTTTTAAAGTGTATTTTTACAAATTTAATTTTTGATTCTGTCCATCTCGGGTTTGTTCAGATCTTCTTTTAGGCTGGTTTAATCGTCTGAATTGTTAGTTACCAGTTCTGGGCCATTTACAAATTAAATTTGTCTTGTGTCCCGATCCAAGCTGTTGGTAAAGCTGCTAATCAGGACATAAGCCTACACATGACCTTTGGCTTGTTGTGCTACACGGGGCAACAGGAGGGCTTCCCACAGCGGGCTGGAGTGCCCCATGGGTGTGACTCGGGTTGGGCGCACTGACCCTGGTTCCTGGTATATACCATATGCCAGGGCACTCAAAGTTACACCTCTCATCAAATGTCAACTTGCTGATTCTGCTTCACTATTTAGCACATGCAGCAACTCTACTAGATAAAAACAAGATAGCTGTTTGTTCCCCGGGGAAGGCCCCTCTGGTCCTCAGTTTTCCTCCTCCTTGACCCCTTTTCCCGTTCTGTGCTGTGTGATGAATCTCTATCTCTCTGCCAGTAGAGGGTCCCCTCTGTCAGCCTCAGTTTGCAGTAGTTGCAGGAGTAGTGATAGAAACAAACCAAATAATCCTTAAAAGGCTGCTTTGAAGATAAATGAAAACCAGTTCTGTAAAAGTTCTTCAAAAACTATTAAAACCATGCCATCCAAAAGCAAGAACTGTGCACTTGTGAAGAGTTAAAAGTTGGCTCAGCAAGCTGGTGGTTCAGCTAAGAGGCAGTGATGAACTGTCCTGCCTCGGTCGGCCTGTCCTGGCATTGGGGTGCTGGCCTGAGGAATAACCTTGCTCCTCATGAGTGTTGCAGGTTCCAGCTGCCTTTGCCTGAGCTAGGAGCTCAGAAGACTCTTGCAGGCTGGGGTCAGGAGGGGAAGCGGTCCTTGCCTTCGCCCAGTTTCGGACTTCAGGAGCACCTTCTCCAGATCAACTACCCCAAGTTCCATTTTCACCGGGTCCTCTTCAGGCTTCACATCCAGCAGGAAACCGTGGGCAGCTCTGGGTGACTAATGGGGGGCTGTGGAGCTGCTGAGCAATGCTGGCCTGTTTGGAAAGGCTAAGGACCCACACTTTCTCTCTCAATGAATCATCTTAACCAAATGAACCTGTTGACCTGAGAATGAATGTACCTGTTGAGAAGGGCTCCTGGTGGCCAACCGGGCTAAAACGTATAAGCAGAGCCCAGCAGCTGTGGCTAAACTGGAGCTTCTCACACAAACCTGAGAGCTGCACTTCAGAGAGGAGCCTGCCCTGAGCTGCTGCCTGCAGCGTGCCGTCTGAGCCAATCCTCACCAAGGTGTCCCTGGAATTGTATTTCAGCCAAAAGGACTAGGATGTTTCCTGTCCGATTAGAACTCACAGCTGTATCCTTAGTAGCATCTTCACCAACCAATCAGAGCAGCTCCATTCTGATCAATCAGGACAATGTTTTTTGGACCAATCAAATTCTGATGATTTGGCCTCCTCTTTTGCAAGAGAACAAACTAATCAGGGACCAGGGGTGGGGACTTCTCTCCATGGGTCAGCTCCCCTCTAGCTAACCGAGCACACTCTTTCCCCTGGCTGGGGTGGAAGATATCTGGGCGGAGGAGAGCTGTCTAGCTGGAAAGGGCCATGCCGCCTCACATCTAGGGCTGCCTCGACTTCATAATTGAGATGAACACTGTTGAGCTGTCCCACAGCCACGCGGTATCACAACTGAGTTGTTTGCACTGGATGAAGTCTCATTGTTCACCATAACCCAAACTGGGGGTTCCTGTTGGTGTTGAATTGGCACCAATGACCATCCGTTGACAAACCCCATGGAGATCCTATGGGTCTTTGTGATAAAAAACAACAACAACAAACAAACCAAAATAAAACAAAAGGGCAAGGAGGAAGAAGCAAGTAAAAAAACAAAAGGCACAACGTTTATGTATATGTATATTTAAAAGACTGGCTTACACCCCTGAGTTTCCAATGCAGGTGAGCTGTTAAGGCTCCCCCTGCCGGCGGTGTGCATCAGCCCTCCCACCGAGCCCAGTTCTCAGAGCACTCACGCTGTTCAGACTCTTCTTTGCAGGCAGCAAGTGGATAAATAAATGTATATTACAGTCTTAGTGACTAGGCATTTTCCCCCTGAGAGATATTTGCATTTTGAAAGTGCAATGAATAGTAGGTTAAGAGCCTAGGGTATGGGCGATACATAGCCCAAAGAAGTGCGTTATTTAAGTGGTGGGATTCCCAAACATTGAGAGGATCTTAATTGTGTCGGAGAGAGAGCAGTCTGTGCCCATGAAGAAGGCTGTGTTAACTGGCGAAACCTTTCTTTATGTAATAAAAACATTCCTGAAAAGCAGTGTTTAAATACTCTTCTTATAAACCCAATCCTACTTTAAGGCACTGACCAAGTTTGCCTATAGATGTCTGTTCTTTTAGAGGAGGGAACACTGGCAGTAGTTAACACTTCCTGACTGCTCTGAATTGATCACTTACTTGACTCCTCACACCAGCCCTGTAAGTAGATACTATTAATGTCCCCACTTTACAGGTGAATAAACTGAGGCACCAAGAGGTCAAGTACCACCCCCCCAGGCTACACAGGTCATACAGCTAGCTAGTGGCAGGTCTAAGATTTAATCGCACTTGACTACATCCCCAATAGTACTAGATTGAAGCCTTATAAACCCCAGGCTCTCTAAAACCCTGGCCTGGGCCAACCACCTCTCTCTCTCTGTAGGAACCTTGAAGTTTCCTACCCAAAGTTGGGGAACGTTGGCTGCAGGTTTGTTCCTGACTGCAACGACTACAGAAAGAAGATCACCACCTGGCCCAAGCCAATGGTCAAATTCCCGGGGGCCTTGGAGGTGAGTGCACAGGTCTGGCTTCGAGGACGAGAGCTGTGGGTCTTGGTTTGCCTCTGAGCTTGTTCATCTGAGTGACTAGAAGCTGTGTGCAGAGCCATCTGGGTTGGGTCTGGTGGTAACAGATGGCTGTTGTCATAAGCATGTGCCTTCCTTAGAGCAGCCCCACAGCCTTGGAGGAGGCTGGGCGGGTGGGAGGGTTGCAGATTGTGAGAGCTTTGTCAGGGCTCAGGGGCCACTCTGCCTGGGTCTTTCCCTGCTTCTGCAGCATCCAAGCCCCCAAGCCTGTCCCCTGGGCCATTGTGGAGACCAGTTGTGCATGCTTGGGAGTCTGCACAGAAAAGAAGAGAGAGAGTTGTGGGAGTTCTCTCTCAAGGTGCAAGGTGGCTGGGCTTTCAGAATGATCTTCTGAATGGGGAGGAGCTAGTGTGTAAAGGGCAGCACCTCTCGCGTGGGCTGAATAAGAGGGGGTCAGTGTGTCTTGACTTGGTCATCGCATAATGAAACATGCTCAGAAGTTCACCCATGTGTTTAAAATAGAAAATTAAAGCACTTTAGGAATTGGAAATAACTATTCCTTTTACTGAGAAATGATACTAATCTGGAAGGTTCCCTTGGTTTGGGGAGGGCCATGGAATGGGAAGTGGGGCTGTGGCTGCTGGTCCCAGTGGCCAGGCCATGTCCTGGGGGATCTTCTCCGGTGTCCTGGTCGCCGTTTATTTCTTCCTTGACTCCTGGGCTAGACTGAGCTTCCAAAGCATCTGGGGGTGAAAGGTGACCATCACTTTCTGCTTTGTTTTAGTGGGAGGTGGCAATGTCAACCCAGGAACAAGGCCTGTGATGTGTCCAGGATTCAGGCCATGAATGGGTGGTGGCAGAGAGTCATGATCAGGATGTGACCACAGGCACAGCAAGGCCAGTCTTCTGGCCTCCTCTGTGCACAGTGGCAGGGAGAGGCCACAGCGGGCTGCTCCCCTCTGTCAGCCCAGCCTGTGGGGGCCATCAGCACAGGCAGAACAGGATTACCAGTACGGGGTGGGCTCACAGGGATTGCTTGGAGGAGAGGGATAGATTTTTTCTTCTTTCTTGAACTGTTTTTCACTATCAGGGAACAAATAGATTGTGATATGTCTTATAATTTATGTGGCTGAGAACATGAAGCTTTGACAGGCTCGTGTTTGCAAATGTGACAAGAATCCTCTGGGAGACCGAGCAAACAAGGAGACCTTCTGGCTCTCCTCTCTCTCCACCCTCCCAATCCTCTGAACATGCATGCACCCTCATGCACACATGTCAGCCCTTCTCCTTGGAGACCCTAGGCCTGGGTCACACCGTGAACAGGCTGGAGAAGCACAGGAAATGTAAGTCACTGTGATTCTAACTCGCGGGATGGGAGGTGGAGGGCTGAAGAAGCATAGCAAGAACCCAGTCCTTTAGAGGATGCTGCTCCATCAGACAGGACTCTCAACTCACCATTAATGCACTTGTCCTCATGTTTATCACTTAAGGAGTGAGGAGGTTGGACCAGATGATTTTACAGCCCATTAGCTGTCCCAAGAGGGATTGTCAGCCGAGAGCTGTTACTCATATTGCTGCATATGTCCACTAGATGGCAGTGTCGACTTTTCTGGTGTCTGTAGGAAGCACAAGTTTGAAGCAAGTTTGCAAAGTCTGCATTTGATTGGGTTTAGTTGATACTGGTTGTCATGGGGAGTATGGGCACATAATGCAGAGAAGATAGCACCCCTCCAGATCCTGGAATCTTCCACCTCGTCTCAGCCCTGATGTGGGGCAAGGAAGCAAACCTGGACGTTTAGGAAGGACACAGCTGTGTGGTTAAGAAAGCCAAGGAGGGCAGAGATTTCACAAAGGAAGGTTGGTTGAGGGGGGGGGGGGGGGGGGGGGGGGAGAATAGTTTTTTACTACAATAGAGCTACACATCATGGAAGTTTGACCTTTGAGAAGGCAAATTTAGTTAGAGCTATCAAAAGCCAGCTTTCATCAGGTTGTACCCATTTTATGTTGGGTTCTATTGATGAGTCATTTCATTTAATGCTCTCATCAAGTCTGCAAGTTAAGTTTCTCTTTCATCGAGATTGTTAGTGGCAAGTGGCAAAAACCAATTCAAACTAGCTTGAGCCAAAAAAGAAGGAAGGCGTTATTGGTTCACAAACTGAAAACTTCAGGGATGACTTCAGGCATTGCTGTATCCAGGTGTTCAAACAACATCACCAGGAATCTATCTGTCCCTTTTCTCTATTTTTTTTTTTCTGTGCTGGTTCTGAGTGCAAATAGACTTTCCTTGTGGTGACAAAGACCACCCTCGCCTGCTTCTGATTTGTGTTTTACTAGTTTATCAATCCCAGTGGGAATAGATTGACCCTTTCCAACCATTACATGTCCCAAGATTTGTTCCACTTGGATCAGATGCCCACCCCTGAACCAGTGAACTGGACGGCCCCACCTAACCTATGAGGGCTGAAAGCAGAGGAGGATGGCTCCCCCAGGAGAAGCAAGGTACTGGTTATCAGTAGGAAAAATAAGACAAGTGCCTATAGATGGAAGTAATTGGGTTCAGTGCAGGGCTGGAAAGTGGCAGAGCTAGGGCTTAAACCCAGATCTGCCCATCTCTAGAGGCTTGACCCATGGACCACCAGCAAGGGCTCTCAGGCAGACACTGGGGTGCTGGCACAGTCCAGGAGGGCTTGCCGAGGGAATGCTTTTCTGGAACAGAAAGAGCAGTGGTTCTAGGGAAGGTGGTAGCAAGGAGGTAGAGACAGGCCAGGGACAGTGAGAAATGAGAAAGTGGCCGGAGCTTCCCTTTAGTGGTAGAGAGACATACACCTCTAGAGAGAGTGACCGGGAAGTTGGAGGAGAAATGGGTGCTATCAGCAATAGGGCCCCGCAAAAGTGAGGGCGGAGAGCCTGAGTCCTAGTGATAGAGAAGAGAATAAAAGAATTTCCTCTGGGCCTGATGATGACTGGCTGTGTGGGGACAATGCCTTCCTTGAAAGGTGATTAAAGTGATAGCACCAAAGCAGTGAGTGTCAATGGACATCATAGGAAGCCCCCCGCGCCCAACACGTGTGCAAGCCCTGAGGCCCCGGAGAGAGGGCCGCAGTGGGCTCAGGGTCATGCCGCGACGCTCACCGGAGGGCTCCGCCTCCACACCTTTGCTCAGGCCGCGCCTCATAGGTGGACCTGGCACTCTGGGACAGCGTGCCCTCACCAACAAGCTTCCTCAAGAGGCCTTCCCAACTGCTTCCTTCCCTCTGAGGTCCATCCCCATTCCTAGCTGATCTGTTCTTTCTCTGAGCCTTTTTAATGTCCCCTACCCTCCAAACTCCAAGTTTACCTCCTTCTGTTTGTGTTGTGGTTGTATATTCAGAGCTTCAGCCAATTTATAACAAGAGCACATGTTGTACTTCTTTGAACCACCCACAGTCCCTAACAGCATCACAAATCCCATGTTGCTGACTAGGTGACCAGGTGAATGAATGAATGAATGAATGAATGAATGAATGGCAGATGCAAGGACACCTCCTAGAGTGTGAGCTATGAGATATGTGAGCCAGCAGTTTGCCCTTTCAGCTGCTGGGTGTCCCGGGGCTTCTGAAGGAAAGCTACTGAGCCTGGTGGATCCCAGGCCCGCACTGGTCTCTCCTCCCGCCAGTACGTGTGGCTGAGCGGTGGAAAGGGGGAGCAGGGGGAGAACTAGGAAGTTAGGTGGGTTCCTGAGAAGGCCAAGCAATGCGGGAAACTGCGGGCGGCCCCACGCCAACCGCGGCTGCGTGCTGAGAGAGGTCGAAGGAAAGGCAGCTTTCTCCCCTGGCACTTGGACAAGCATTAAGAGGCAAACATCTTAAAGTGCATCTTTCTCAAGCCAATGAAAACTGAAAGGCCCCTGAAAAGCTTCTTGACTGGGGCTCACTCTTGAATTTAAGCAGCCGGAGTCCTTTTTAAGGGAACACGTGGCCTGTAAGTGAGGAGGGAAAAGAGGGCTACTCAGTCCTGTCCCACTGTCCCTCAGCTTGCCACTCTGGCTCGGCCGGGCCCGAGGTCTGCTCCCCAGAAAGCAGGTGGCTCTGTCCTCCTGTCAGGCTGGGCAGGCAGGTCCCGACACTATCCCGTGTTTGCAGTGTCTGTGTTGCTGGAGGCCTCGATTTGGGGCCTTAGCACCCGGTGGTGTGGGGTGGAATCTTCCAGGCATCCGAGCTTCTGGAGGTGAGGATATGGAGTGGTCAACAGTGGCCAGCCTGCAGAGGTCAGACAGACAGACAGTGGGGAGGCTCCTGCATGGCCAGGCCGGGGGAGAGCCTGGCTCTGCTCCTGAGCAATGGGGACAGGAGTTTTGGGACAGCGGATAAAGTCAGGACAGGGTCAGGAGTCTACTCGGGGCGGGGAGGGCCCATAATATACCAGTGATGGTCTAGGGAAGAATTAGTGAGATTTTACTGTAACCCAATGCTTAGCACAGAAACTTAATAAATGGCATTAGTTATCATTATGATAAAAGACTGGCTTGTGGCCTACAGGGTGGAAGGTGCAGAAGAACGATCGGGGCTGCTGGAGGCTCCAGGAGGCCTGTGTGAGTCTGAGGTCTCGAGGCAGGAGCCAGTGAGGTTGTAACAGAGAGAAGTGACAGGTGGAGCCAGGCCTGGGAAAGCAGCACCCAGCACCTACACAAGGATGCTCACCTGTCATTGTATCCCTTTGTCCCTGGCCAAAGTCTGCAGGAATCACCCAGTTGTGTGCCAGCCCAGGCTGCTCAGCCACCTGCTATGGGGGGCCTATGGCCACAACAGGACCAGGTAAAAGAAAAGCAATGCTTCTCACCATTTCTAACCTTGGCGGTGTGATTTTTCGGTTGCAAAGAAACTTCCCGTTCAGGATTTCACAGGATCCTTTCAGCAGCGTTGAGCTGGCCAGAGCAGGAATGATCCCCACAACTGCACAGGGGGCGTGCTGCCCAAAGTCACACTTGCGAAGGCTGGAAAGTGGAG